TACAAGTTCATATGACGAATTCATTACACTTGGTTCCTCGAGTAATAAAACAGTTAACACATTGATAACTACATGTTGTCCATAATGTACATCAATGATTTATAAGATGAGGGATTTCAACTTTGATATCTACGCATGGTGAAAGTATAATTAGTCTTCATATTGAGTCTGACAAAGACCACATGCCCATACTGACCACCTTTAGTGATCTCAATGAAAACCACCTGTTTTTGTGACCACTCACTGCCCTTTTGGCATAAGTTTGATAAGTCACATGACCTATCATATAATGTCAAAATAACGGGAGATGATTGCACAATAATAGACCATTTTCTGTTCTGTTCTCTGCAAGATACTGCGTTATGCATGAAATCGAACATAAAAACAGAACAAACAAAGTTCATAGCGTCGTAGTGACGACGAACATCACGTGGGATTTGACAAATGCGAAAGTATTTGAGGGGACATTTTCATGCTTAATAATGTGCTGTACACATTTGATTATGATAAATTTTGATGAAGTAAGGGTATTCAAACCCAATATTCCTTTGTCAAAAATCGGCCGTTTAATGTGAGCTACGAAATAAAGAAATTCTAGTTCAAAATCAAATTGTTCAATTTTTGCGGCAGACGTTCGGCGCACGTCTTTCACACAATTTGCAAGATCTCTCAATTGTGCGAAAAATCACCTATTTACATCAACATTTTTATGTTAATCATGAACAAACATTTAAGAATTCTTGTCATATTTTCTACCTGCATACAAAGACCAGATGTCTATAAAAGTATTGGCTAGGTGCTGTAAGCAGATATCAGCATAACATGTTTTATCAACAATGTAAACAATTACCGGAATATGTTGATTCCCATACAAGAATGATTACCCATGAACCCCATAATTAAGAGTCATGTGACTATGATATAATGAATTTGGGCGATACCACAGCTGAAGTAGGTATGTCCAAGGGTGGTCTCACCCACCTGATCTAACTATATATTAACTATATATTTTAAGGAAGAGCACATTTCAATTCAAATTGAGGTAATACTTATGCTCCTTAAGCTATCTAAGGCAGCAAAAATAAAATGACTATTTTCTATGATTTGTTTTTTTGTAGCTTGAAAATTAACACTTGCCTTTAAAAGTCTTGCAGCTAGTAAATGAAACAACTGACAATGTTGCTGTGTGTTGTCAGCATGCTTGGTTACCAATGCTATTGCATCATCCCAAAGTTTATACTGCAACAATAACTTTAATGATGTCATGACACAATCATCATCACCACTGTAATAAAATAAAATCAAGTTCATCATAAACTCACCAACAACTAAAACTGTATATTGTTGCTAGGAGACCAAGTAATGTACAGAATAATTTAAACAACATTAAACAAGCAGCCTGTCGGCTGAGATAGCTCCGCTGTTAGCAAGGCACATTTCAAATAAAGAACAAAAGATATCAGTAGAAAATGAACAATATACATAGTATCAATGCAATGGGAATTGCTGTTTTCAACAAGAATTCAAAAATATAATTTTTCACCATAAATGACAAAAATATTCACCAAAATTAGAGAATTGACGATATAATTACAAAATGAACAAATTTGAGAGAGGTCCACATGTAGTACCTATATATGTAATAACAAAGCAATTGGACTTGCGGTTTTTAACAAGAAGTTGAAAATATCACTTTTTACCAAAAATGACAAAAAATATTCACCAAAATTAGATAATTAAAGATATCATTACAAAATGAACAAATCTGAGAGAGGTCCACATGAAGTACTTATATATGTAATATCAAAGCAATTGGATTTGCGGTTTTTAACAAGAAGTCGAAAAATATCACTTTTTACCAAAAATGACAAAAATATTCACCAAAATTAGAGAATTGAAGATATGATCATGGAATGAACAATATCTGAGAGAGGTCTACCCAAGGTACATATACACCAAGTATCAAAGCATTCAGGCTTGTAGTTTTCAAGAAGAAGTCGAAAAAGTAAAACATTGACACGAACGACGACGGACAATCACTCATATGATAAGCTCTGCTCGACAAAGTCGACAGCAAGCTAAAAAACAAATGTTCTCCTTGTAAAAAGGGAATAATCACTTGGCTAGTGATATTTTTAACTTGCCTCTCACTTCAAGTAAAAGTGAAGGCATGTGATGAATAACAGTTTACAATTATTACCTTCCAAGGACGAGGCAAACTTGTGCCTTTACAGCCTCATTTTCATAATCTGAGTTTTCTGGGCGTGGCAGACACTTAAGAGCTCTGTCATAGAGTTGAATCTGAATACAGAAAACAAAGAAATCTTTCAAGAACTATTTTTTTATTAACTGTAATCAGAAATCAACAAATATTAAGCAAGAAATTAAAATGATGACAGCAATGAACTAAACGATTTTTTTTCTTTTAATATTTGTGTCAGACGACATTTCCAGACATTGAAGCCACTCATGATGTTTTTGTTAGAAATTACAAGCTGGTCTCTCAAAATTAATATCAATAATGGATATCATTAATTTGAAGTACTCTATTTACTCCATTAGAAGTTAACATTAACCTGTTCACCACCTATTCCCTCTTTTCATCACAATTTCACAAAATAGTCCTGTTTATAGTCTGCTCTTTCCCCTTAAGAAAATTTGGGACAAAAATATAAGAAAAAGATGCAGACAAATTTGGGCAAGAAAGTCTGGTGATGAAAAGGTTAACTATAAATTGACAATAGATGAACCTCTAAAATGAAGGTTTAATAGAACAAACACGATATCCTCATTTCTACCTTTTCTTTCTTTCTTGTAAATGCTGTCACACCAATCACTTTCTCCCTCATTTGATTTGCAAACTCCACAAACTGTACCTGTGACCAAACAAACAATTATTTGATTACAGGAATAATAATTTACTAGAAATTATTAAATCACATGTTTCAACTCTTGAATAAAATGACCACAAAACTGAAGCTGTAACTGAAAAGTGATCACTGTTGAGTGAATCACAGACAACAAAATGGCTACCAGTCAACCATTTCAAATAAAATCAACAAAGTCTGATCGAAATCCATGAAAACTGGACTGAAATCTGGTTTTAGAATGGCAGAAATGTTTGATTTTAATTAATTTTTGTACTAAAATGGCTGCCATTCAGCCATCTTAAATTAGATCATGAAATGACTGCATGTGCATATGTTTTAAATTTAAAGGGTATCAGTCAAGACATGTCAGAGATAGATGCACAGTTTTGGACAAATATACAATGAATGGAATCACAATAGAAATATGAAAACTCTTAGCAAATCATGGCCAAGTTGTCCCACAAGTTGTAAGAGAAAGCCTAAAACTGGACACAAACCTGTGAGGAACCAATAAGATGTTTATTATAATTTCATTTTTAATCAGCATGTTACATACCACTTTATCAGGTTTGCCAATATAAATAAGACGACAGAGAACTTCAAACAATGGCATATTATTATGGGAGGTAACTTTCCAACTAGTAAATGTGGTTTCCGGTGTTAATATACCACTCCAATTAATAGTAGACTCATCGATTGAATCTGTGGCTGGACAAGTAAAGAGATACATGTATAAACAATAATGATCAAAGCAGGTTCTTGTAGATTAATACAGTTAAAGCTAAAGTTACTGTGATATGTATATGTATTCACAAAATGTGGAGCCATGGAACATAAGTATGTATACGTGTTCACAGGTTGTTGGCCATAAACTTACCAGTTTCATCTTCAGTATTTGGCAGTATATCAAGTATCGTATTGGTAACCTCACTCGGGAAATGATGCATAAGAATTTCAAGACGATCATAATTTTCTGAAAAGCATTAATAAGAAAAAGTGATGCCAAAGCAAATATCGATTATACTCGTATTGATTTGCTGTAAGTCCCCATTACTATGCATTATTTTAACTCACCATTGTTGTTTCCAGGTCCACCCCTCAGTAAACTTAGTACTTGATCTTTTACATTTAATTCACTATTAACAGTACCCTGTATGAAACACATTATGAAATAATAAATTTATGAAATAAATTTGTGATTCACTGCATTAATATTCTAAAGATCAACACATTCAAAGGATAAATAATGTTCACAAATATTCCAAATCTTTAATAAACTTTTGAGTTACAGAATGATATTTTTTTTGTTTAATATAGAACACGATAGTCTCATGCATGA